GACGCGGGTGTGAGTTTGAGTGTCCGTTCATCGAGCGTAGCATACCTTGCAGGAACAAATGACAGCAGGACCGAATAAGTGCTTGCTGTTGCTGTATAGATGTGTGAACATAGCTTACAAAAAAAAAAATGGGGAGCAGCCCCGCGGTGCACTTGACAAAGTGTGCAGCACTTGAACGGGTTCCTTTGATATTTTAATAAGGCGGTACAGTTCTCTACTCTGACTCGCGATAGGAGTTTGCTTATATGCTTTCGTGCTCGTCACTCCATTCAGGGCTGTATTCCAAAAAATATTATTACTCCCCGCAGCAATTCAGGAGGGAGGTTATTGAACCACTCCGGTTGTGGCGGAAAAAAAGGACAACATTGTGCTTAACCAGTTTGATCGAAATTTGCAGTGGACGCCTTTCTCCTTTTTGTCTCCGGGGAGGGAGGAGAGTGCAGCAGGCGGGGTCTCGTTGTGGAGGTCGTGTGTTATTCTTTTTTTTACAAGTCCATCGTTTTTCGCTTTCGGCACATCTGAGATACCAACATGGCAGCAGCAAAGTTCGGCGTGGAACGAAAGCAAATTTGGAAAGATGTCGTAGAAAGCAGAGACGCCGAATTTTTGAGAATAAAGAGGGGTCCATTTGGTGAATTTGCCCTTAAATTTCACACTTCGAGAATAAATTAAAATGTTCGAAAATCCCTCTGTTGTTGATCGGCCGATTATCGAGAACGTGTCTGTCAAGACTGATGTCTTGTCCGGCGGAAACAAGGGGTAATCAACTCTGCACACTGTGCCGAAACACATCATGGCACACTTTTCGGCACGTTAGGGCATACGTTGACAAGTACCACACAAAAAATATAATATAAAATGGCATCACTGTCAAGTTTTGACGTTTTGTTAATCGTTGCTAAGAATGAATCCTTTGTTTACTCCAATGTAAAGCCTAATAAGTTCGTGGATTGTGACATGTCTCATTTAGAAAATCTGTAAGTATTTTCTGCATCATGAATCCAATCAAACTAACAATACTCAGTCCATATAATTTGATACGCAAAGAAAACCCCTTCAGCTTGTGGTTTTGTCAAGACGGCCGTAACGGGTTACCTCCAACGAGAGTTGGTCATATGGCTAGAAGATCTGGTTCGGAATGCGATCGACGAAATCGTTGAGTGTAAACAGGTTTTTGTAAGTACATGGAGTTCAAAAACAAACCATCAGTTTAAGCACGTTTGCAGTACGTATCTCTGTAGGAACGAATCTCGTCTGAGTGACGACAAGAGTTCAGGTGGACTATTGGAAGCTGGAATGGTCGATTCGGACAAGAAATAATCGGTTTTATTACGCGAAAATACGATTTAAAAGCATAACTTTATTTAGCTGCTTGATAGTCGGAAAAACACGTTTGCGATTAAAGATGGCCATGGATAGATGTCAAACTCAGTGGCGGGATGCCAGATGTGCATATTCGATAGGTGCGCTCACGGTAGTAGGGTGCATGGTGTGTGCTTACCAGGTGAGGAACAAGCAGTGCTCCCGTTCCACACTCCCCCTCAATGCGATGTCCTCACTGCTCGACGCCAAGCCCGAGCATCTCACGAAAGGTCTGATGTTTCTGTGGTCCAAGTGGCTTCGTAAAGATGTCTGCCAACATTTGATCTGTGGGGCAGTATTCCAGCACCACCTCTCCTTTAAGGCACAACTCCTGCACGAAATGCTCCCCAGTGTTGATATGCTTCGAGCGTCTGTTGCTTCTTTCTGATCTCACAAAGGCGAGACAACCTTGGTTGTCCTCCTTAACCACGGTCGGATGTTCCTGCCTTTCACCGAAGTCGTTGAGTAGTTGCCGAATCCATATTGTTTCTTGGCAGGCTTCGCTGAGGGCGTAGTATTCGGCCTCCATTGATGATAACGTGACACTCGATTGACGACGGCTGGTCCAAGAAACTACGCCACCACAGTATGCAAACACAAATCCGGTTGTTGACTTCCTGGTGGCCAGGTCTCCAGCCCAGTCGGCATCAGAATAGCCAACCAACTCTTGATTGGGTTCTCCACCTCGTCCCTTTCAAGAACCGCAGGACCCGTTTGGCTGCGGTCCAATCGTTCTCTGTTGGCTCTGCAAATTTTCGACCAAGGATGGCCGCAGCTGCAGCAATATCCGGCCTGGCTATGACTGCTAAGTACAGCAGCCCACCAACGAGACTACGGTACACGGTAGGGTCCTTCAACGGTGCGCTTGTATCTTTCGTTTTCGTATATCCAACATCCATAGGTGTTTTTGCTTCCTTGGCTTCAGATATTCCGTTCCGTTCAATCAGCTTGTCGACATAGTTCATCAGGCGCACGTGATAGACGCCTCTCTTCATAACTATCTCTATCCCCAGAAAATGTCGTGGTTGACCCAGGGACGTTAGCTCAAACTCCGCGCTTAGGTACACAGATAAAAATTCTGAATTTTAATTGTGATGTAAACATTCATTCACGTAAACTTAAATTTAATTTCACACAACCGAGCAACTTGTAAACAATATTGTTTACAAAGATGGGGTTTGTATACAATATTTGCTACATTGCATGAATTGTGCTAGAACTTTACATGATATATAATGTAAACTTATATGAAATATGACGCTCCATTTGTGTGCATCATATTGAACAGAAATTTACACTACTTTTCGAACTGTGTATTCGATGCATTTCTCCAGTTCCCCTTCTGCAGACGACGCCAGAAGAATGTCGTCGACATAGACTATGAAGAACACTTTGACTTTTCCTACCAGCTTAATGTACAGGCACGGATCCGCGCTAGATCTCTTGAATCCGTTTCTCAGTAGGACGTCCTGGAGCCTCTTACACCAACATCGAGCGGACTGCCGAAGACCATAGATGCTCCGTTTTAAACGGCACACTAAGTCTTCATGTATCCCGGCGGCTGCCGCATAAAAATTTCTTCCTCAAGGCTACCGTAGAGGTACGCCGTCTTGACGTCCAGATGACGAACGATCAACTTCCGCTTCGAGGTAATCGCGAAAAAGGTTCGCAGAGTTGCTTGTCGGGCCACGGGTGCGAAGACTTCCTTACCATAGAACCATAGATGTAACTCTAAGACTAGAAGGTCCCGAAATAACGTGCTCAACTTTTTGGCTCAGCTCTGGTACTATCTTCGGTCCCAAGCTATTCGATTCACCTCTCGAAACATAGGAAAAACCAATCACCCCTCATTTTATCTGTCAAACTTTCATACCGAATCAAAACAAACATTGCGTAGTACTAGAATTTCGACTAGAATGGGATACGTTAATCGTTTGCTTGGGACCAATAGGGTAGTCAAGTAGTAAGCCAATTTAAAATCGTTAGTTTCGTATTGATTGTTGGTAGAACTCAGTGGGTAACTGCTGTTTAAGCTGTTCAATCGATGGCACACAAGATGTTGTGCTCCCCCAAAGTCGGCGCCCATGGGTGCGAATCAAGGGGTGACACCAATTATGTCATAAGTTGCCCAATTTTTTTAATGCTTCCTGACTTTGCCTCTGTCTTCTTTTGCTCGGTTTTCGATATGTGAGTTTAATCAAGCGGAATTTGTCACCGGGGATTAATAGCTTATCTTCCTCTTCTGCGCTGTCCCATGCTCAACAAGGCAGGCCTTGACTTGACGTTCCTATAATTGAACGTTCGTCGGCCGTCGGTATGGCAAACAAGCTTTGACGTATCTATAATAGGGTTTCGTGGAATGTTATCATGGCCAGGGTTGGGAATAACTTGTGCGGGGATTTGACATGGGATATAAAACGGTTAGATGTGGGACACGGCATCATTACATTAATGGAGAATTGGGAGGTGCAAGTATTTTGGCAACCTTCTCTCTGTGTTCAGTTCAGAGCAAGGTGACTACATATAGGTGTTCTAATGTGTCAAATTCATGATTCAGCCATGTTGGATTTTTGTATGGGACAGCGACCGAGTTTGTTTACAATTTGCTCTAAAACCGCACTTTTCCCCCCCGCGACCTCCTCGCCTATATATTGACAAAGCTGTATCACCATTTATATACCCACCATGGTTCAGAGAATCCTCGAGAGGACGCACCCTTTGAATGAGAAAGTGAGGCACGCACATGATGTTTCAGGGAGCCACAAAAACTCACCAACTTGTTTACTTTTTTTGACGTTCGTCGAGGCAGAGAGTGGCAAGCGAAGCATAAAAAATTGCGAAGAAATACCCATTGGACGCGTGAACCGGTTTGACGAACACACGCGCACAAATCAGAAGCCATTATTGGGCCTCTTGAGAGAGAAAAAAAAACTTTACGAATTTGTTCAGACCGAAGCGGGCGGCGTGCGCGCGGTTGCCAACGTAAACAAGTCCTGCAGCCGTTCCTACCAATGCATCAAAACGGAAGCTATGTAGCTAAATAGCGAAAATATTTTGGCTTATCCTAGGCAACGAACAAATGGAAAACAAGGGCTATTTCAAAGAAGGTCAAGGTCAAGTAGCGTACGGTTTATGCTGATGGCTTTTGTTTACCGCTAGGGTCGTTGCCTGGGCAACCTTCTACCTGTATTTGTTTATTGGGGTCCATTTCGGGGCACGGGTGTAAGGAAATTTGCATCTGGACTCGACACGTCAAATGCGGTAGCAGGGGTGGAAAAAAAAAAACAAACAAATCAAAATCAGGTAGAAAATTCTGCCTCAAAGACGAAGGAAACGAAGCCACAACCGCGCTGGACAGGGGAAAAGGGCACGGGAAAAGAGAGTGTGCGAGAGAGTGAAAGGAGAAAGAGATTCTTGTTGTTATTAAATCGATTGGGATTTTTGCAGCTCCCATTTAGCTGCAGCGTCCTGTCCTGTCTTGTCTGTCTTGCGGAATACACGTCGTCGAGTGGCATGACGGCTGTAGAATCTGTGCGTTTAATTACACTCTGCTTGGGGTTTTTGTCGCTACGAATTGCTTTTAAATTGCATTCCTGTTTGACTGATCCGTTTCGTTCGTCTCTTTTCCCCTTTTTCAGAATGTCTCCAGAGCGGCATCCTTCGCACGACGATGGTGATGGTGGCGGCGGTGGAGGCGGAATAAGTACAATTATCGGTGGTCACGTTACAGTAGAAACTTCGTCACCCGTTTCGAGTCCTGGTCCGGGACATTCAGTAGACGCAACCTCAGCGTCCATCGGCTCCAGCATGGTGCTCTCGTCGATTCCCATGGAAGCTAATCATCAGCTTATCCTGCAGCAGCACCTGGCTCAACAGCACCAGCAGCAGCAGCAGCAGCAGCATCACATTATTGCTACAACCGGCAACACCAATCAGAACAGTAGTGCAATCAGCAGCGCCACCAACGGTGGTGGCGCAGGCAGTAATCATAGCATAATAATCAACAACAACACTAGCTTTAAGAATCACAACAACAATATCATAATTAGTGGTAGTGGTGTCGGCGGTGGAAACAGTAACAATCATCAAACCTACACGATTAACCTGAGTAGTGGCGGTGGTGGTGGTAGTCACAACGGTCACGCGATGGTTCCAATCCACAGCTATGCCGCTACCACCACCTCCGTAAACAATGGCAGCATCAGCTCTAGTACTGCACTGAACGGCGGAGTAGGCGGCGGCGGTAATCACAGCCATCATGGTCACCTAGGGCAGCAGCAATTTTACGCTGCGCCAAACAGTGCTACAATCATGAATTCGGGTAGCATAGCAACGGCGGGCCATAGCAACGCTGCGACAGCGTCATCGACGGCGACGGTCGTGGCGCCACCCCCGTCCTTGTCCTCGTCGGCGTCGTCGGCGACGTCCAAATTGGTGGTACTGCAGCAAGGACATCTCGGCGAGAATTATATAAGTGAGTGAGGCCGCTTTTCCTGCTTTCTCTGCTGTTTTCTTTCGCTAATTTTAGGGCTTGAGGACTTGGGCACATTGTGACGTGTGGTTGTGGTGGTTGAAGGAAGGAAAAATGCTGGCATAGCTTGTCAACTACGAAACGTCTTCGGAAGGGGTTTGCAGGTGGAGGAGACCTGGTAATTGTTGCTGCCATGTTGAAGTGCATAGTTCGAGGCATAATCTTGATGGGAAATCGCATTTTAGAGTGCAACTGTGCTGGGAGTATTTACAAGGGGAGGGAGCTAGGGATATTGATTTTTGATGAGGTGGCTTAGGAATGTATGTGGACACCGGAAGAATTGTGGGACAGCACAGACTTAATACGTTTGCTTTTCTGAGGTAGTTTAAACTCCGCAAATGCCATTGAGACTAGAATTTACGAAGCCCTTGTTGACCTAGAACCAGTGTCAGCTGAATGGATTTTAAATTATAATTTCTAGTAATTTAGGTCTAGGGGCTTATTACGGATGTCACTTCACGGTGAAAACTTGTCACTTGTCACGATGAAGTGATTCCCATTTGATTTGTATGGCAATCACGGCTCTTATTCTGAGTATCACTTGCTTATCACCGTGTAGTGACACCCGTAATAAGGCCCCTATTCTGTGAGGCGTATGAGATGAGGTGACTCGCTGTCATTAGTGAGGTGACAATAGTCACAATTTAATTTGCACGGAGAGTCACCTCACTCGCGGTGACTACTGTCACCTCACTAGTGACAGCGAATTTTCTCACCTCACACTCCGCACGAAATTGAAAAAAAAAAAACAGTGAAGTTAATATTTTGCTTTAAACCTCAATTCAGTTTCTCAATTTCGACCTCTTGTCCATTTTGAGATTTTGTCCGTTTGACCTTTTGTTCATTCGACGTTTTGTCCTCTGAGTTCAATCGACGTTTTGTACTTTGACCACGTGTCCCACGACCTTTTTTCCTACAACCGTGAAAAGAGCCTGTAATTGTTGATCGATTCTCTTCATCGATTTTCTCTTTCGCGAATAACCCGACTGCATATGAAATTTGTGTTGTTTCAGGCACAAGTTAACATCATCTTCTGTCGAACTGTGCTGCGAGCATAGCAAAAAATTCGTTTATGTTGCCGTGATAAACCAAAGAGAAAGTCGATGAAGATAATCGATCAACGAGGATAGGCTCTTTTCAAATGTTACGCGAGAGTTGTCCAGTTGTCAGAAATTATCTATTGCGTCATCATTGATGTCCATCCTTCACCTATTGACCAATGCACGGGATGAACTGCATAAACAAATTTGACGTTTGAGCGGTGCCGTGTTTACTAAAAATGAACACATGAATAATACTCGCGTAACATTTAAAAATGGCCTATCAACTTATGTACACAAAACTTGTTAGACATTTTTCGCGCGAACCGAAGTACGCCCATGCAAACCAACAATTCTCCCCTTTCCGATAGTGGTTTGGTTTGCGTGGGTGTTCTTTGGCTCGTGAGAAAAGGGCCTAACAAGTTGTTTATAAAAGTTGATAGGACCTTTTCTAAAGTTACGCGAGTATTACATCATGTGTTCATTTTTAGTAAACACGGCACCGCTTAAAAGTCTCTTTCTGCTTTGGTATATATTAGGTTTTGCACCGTCGGGGTTAACCTCAATCTGATGACAGTTCAGTGGTACTGTTTACGTGAACTTAGTTGATTTTTTCTTGGGTGGATTGTCTCGATAATTTTTCATTCTGCAGTGAGATGTAAACCACACTTCTGCAATGTCCACGACCAACATCCTTTCAACGCGCTGTTCCTTGACAATTTTCAAGTTGAAATTCGGAAATTTTGGAATATTGTTTTTCGAAAAAAACGACTAAGTGCTTGTAAACAGTACCACTGAACTGTCAAAAAGGTTCAGCCGATTAACACTAAGTTCATTTGTGACGTCACGCTGTAGAACCTAATAGACATTTCAAGCTGAACATTGCATTAGGTCCTAAGTAACATGGACAGATTTCCTTGGTCGACTTTCTCTTTGTATCCCCATGGTCATGTAAGGGCCTGTTCATAAACTACGTAGAAAGTTTTTTTTTTGTATTCTTGACCCCCCCTCCCCTTGCGTAGACAATTGTCCATACAAATTTTTTTAAATGGATAGTTGTCAACCTTCAAATTTGGGTAATTTTGAAATAGCGTGCAGCATCTAATGCGACACACATAACAAGAAACGGTTAGGTGCTCAAGTTATTAACTAAAGAGAAAGTCGACGAAGAGAATCGATCAATGTTACTTAGGACCTAATCCAATGTTCAGCTTGATTTGGTAAGTTTCTATCTAATGAAACATCAGCTCTGTATTTGGCCAATTCAGCCAGTTTGTTCAGTTAAGTCAATTGTCCACTCGATTCAGTCGTATCCATTTGTTTAGTAACTCATGTCCATAGACGAGTGCACGGATGGATTTGAGTTCACTCACTCGACAAAAAGTGACACAACAGCGGGGCCCTGTTTACTAAAAGTGAACACATATGTGTTCATTTTTAGTAAACAGGGCCCCGCTGTTGTGTCACTTTTTGTCGAGTGAGTGAACTCAAATCCATTTGTGCACTCGTCTATTAGTTGTCCAATTTGTCAGTCGTCGTTTAGTTTCGGCTGGTACTGGTCAAGTGGTCATTCTGACATCAATTTGGGTAGATCTGCATTTTGTGTGACCATCCATCGAGATTATTGTCAATTGACCACACATGTCCATTTAGTCAATTTTACGTTTGACCGGTTGATTATTCGTATGTTTCGTTGTTTATAGGATTACAATCCGTTCTCAATTAGAGTAGTACCAACAATCAATTCGAAACTAACGATTTTAAATTGGCTCACTACTTGACTAGCCTATTGGTCCCAAGCAAATCGATTAACGTACCCCATTCTAGTCGAAATTCTTTTACTACACTATGTTTATTTTGATTCGCTATGAAAGTTTGACAGATAAAATGAGGGGTTAGTGGATTTTCCTATGTTTCGAGGGGTGCATCGATTAGCTTGGGACCAAAGATAGTACCAGAGCTGAGCCAAAAAGTTTAGCACGTTTCTTCAGGACCTTCTGGTCTTAGAGTTACTTCTATGATTCAACCACAAACGAAGTGACAGACGGAGCGGCTCGAAAACTTTGGTGACGCACCTGCTATTGCAATTTTTCAGTGTACCGCATGGCAACACCACTACTACTGGATTGTACCACATGGCAACACTAAATGTACTAGAATGTTTTGGTTCTATCTCTTTCACTCTACTCCAAACTGAAATACATAAAAAAATGACAAAATGATACACTCTTTGCACGCTGTCAAAGATCATATTGCACACAAAATCAACTATGTTTAAATCAAAACAAAAATACTAGCCCATCTGGTGGCTGATGGCACAAGCTTCTAAGAAAATTCTATTACAGCGAACCACATTATTGTAATTGATTTCTTCGCCAGTTAGTCGTCTGACACTTCGTATGTGGTTTTGTATTGATTGTTGGTAGTACCAACAATCAATACGAAACTAACGATTTTAAATTGGCTCACCACTTTAGTAGCCTATTGGTCCCAAGCAAACGATTAACGTACCCTATTCTAGTTGAAATTCTATTACTACACTATGTTTGTTTTGATTCGCTATGAAAGTTTGACAGCTAACATCAGGGGTGTGTGGATTCATGCAGAACATGCAGGGGTGAGTGAAACAGCTTGGGACTGCTTGGGACGGTTGTTCTGGTACTGAGTGAGCCAAAAATAATAATGATTTTCTTCGGGACCCAGTGGTCTTAGAGTTACCTCTATGGTAGTACCATAGAGGTAACTCTAAGACCACTGGGTCCCGAAGAAAATCATTATTATTTTTGGCTCACTCAGTACCAGAACAACGGTCCCAAGCAGTCCCAAGCTATTTCACTCACCCCTGCATGTTCTGCATGAATCCACACACCCCTGATGTTATCTGTCAAACTTTCATAGCGAATCAAAACAAACATAGTGTAGTAATAGAATTTCAACTAGAATAGGGTACGTTAATCGTTTGCTTGGGACCAATAGGCTACTAAAGTGGTGAGCCAATTTAAAATCGTTAGTTTCGTATTGATTGTTGGTAGTACTGCCATTGGTCAGCCATCCATTTGACTCACTGTCCATTTATCCAAATCTGAAGAACCTCAGTGGCCCTGCATAGATTAATAAAAATTCGATCTTTTCTTGCACTACTCTGCCTATACCGCTGCCAAGTCCACAAACCTTCCGAAGTCCTTCAAGTCCTAAAAATGCCATATCCTAGAATCGAAACAAACATGAACTAACTTTGCACCGTCTTCCCCCCTTCGCAGCCACCACGGACGGCATGAACGGCGTCGGCAACATTGTGCTGCTCGCCACGGAACAGATGGATATGAGCAGTGCGGAGCACGACTTCCTCAACAACAACAACGTGGTCATTACCACCAGCGGTGGCAGTCACAGTCACCACAGCACCGGCAGCCATAATAGTCACAACAATAATCATCCCGCCCATCATCATCTGCAGCACTCGATCCGCAATGGAACCGTGCTGGCAACCAATGGTGCCGGGACCAGCATCGTAGTCAACACCAACGATGAGGAACTGACCCCGCTCACTTGGCTGCACGATAAGAACCTGCTGAAAGGTTAGTGTAAACAACGGAGCGTTCTCTTTTGATTTATTTTTATTTACAAGATGGCGGTGGTGATCGCAGCGTGCTTTGCGTTTTTCCCGAAGTGACAGATGGGAGGGGGGGGGGGGGGAGTCGGTTGGTTGAAATAGTTTTCGCTTTCGGTGGAGGTGAAGCATCTTCTCATGCCCGCTGTGAGCAGGAAGAATGGCGAGAGCACGGTGGGTGGATCACTTTTTGGCACGGTCCATCGTCGTCGACGGGCGGCATGATGCGTGCCACCATGCATCGCGCGATGCAAAAATAGTTTCTGTGCGAATTGTTTTCTTTTCCGTAGCAACCATTACGAGATGTTGTCGGCTTCGGTATCAACCGAAATAGACAAAGGTTATTGGCCCGAATGGTCCTGATTCCTTCTTGGCGTGTATACTGTAGAATGCGTTGTCTGTTTGGGAAGCGCCCAATAACTCAACAGTCAATGACTCGACGGAAAAATTCGCTGTTGTCAAGGATCTGAACGGTACAAAGCAAGCATGCTTCGATGCGGATGGAGATGAGGGAAAAAGAGACGCATCGCAGTAGCAGTGTGTTATTATTGATCTATTAGCGAAATGGCATGCTATGGGTGTACGGCTGGCGGTGTGTAGTGGTTGCGATTTATTTTACGATCGTCGTTTATTGTGGCGAAAATCAGCGAACAAAAGCGAACACTTAAGTGGGATGATGCACATGTTAGCGATCCGGGTGTCGTCGGCGTCGAGGGTTGACACTACTCCATGCTAAATTCGATTCTTTCCTTTTTCGCTTTCCAGGAATAAATCTGTCCAAGGTCCCAGTGTCATCGCCGGACAGTCCTCGGCAAGCAGGCGGTCACCTATCGCCAACCAGTGACTTTGTGGAGGATTCCAGCGTGTCGGAGGACAACACGTCCTCCGCCAATTCATCCTCGGATCATGTAAGGCCAACATTCATCTTTCAATTTATACAGCCCATCTAACTGCTTTCTTTGAACCAACAGAGCATCGGTGTCTACTGTACGGAAACGATCCAGTCCAATGGGCGCCATCTGACGGTCGGTGGTCCAACTCATCACACGTTCCAGCTTAGCAACGGAGGCGGCCACAAAACGATCACCACCATCAACGGGAACACTATCATCGAGTACCCGCTGATCACCGCCGACGACAAGGAACTGAAGTCGCCTTCGTCCACAGTTTCCTGCGCCTCGTCCGCTTCGTCCACTTCTTCGCTGTACAATTCCGCGCCGTCGCCGAATCCAACCGGATCGGCACAGAATGGAAATATCAGTGGAGCCAGCACGCCGCATCAGCACTTCCACAAAAAGTACCTGCGAGAGGAGCACGTGAAGCAGTTGAAACAGGTCAGCAGCTCCTACGAGACACCGATCAAACAGCAGTCCAGGTGAGTTCCCTCTCATGAGAGTTGCGCTTCAATCCCGATTTTTAAAATTCAGAAATTTCGCCAACAGTACAATGAAGTACGAGGAAGGGGAAGTCATCGACGAGCGTCAGTATCCGTCGGCACCGATGAAGAACGGGTACCCGTCGATGGCCACCTCACCAAACGTCAGCAGTGACGAATACAGCAGTACCTACGGTGGCGGTGGCAGCAACATGAGACCTCCATCGCCGCAGCACCACCAGCAGGGGCCATCGATGAACGGTGGAGTTCACGTGCTTCCACAGCACCCTCCATCGTCACCGCAGCCTCAGCAACAGCAGCAAGCAAAACTATCGCCTCCGAAGGCAAAGCATCCGACCAATGTGCCATACGATCCCCAAGTTCACGTCCACAGCAAACCGCCGTTCAGCTTTAGGTAAGTTTCCTAGCTCTGGATAATTCGTAGCAATGATCAATCTAACCGGTTTTCGTTTTCCCCGTCAGCTCGTTGATCTTCATGGCGATCGAGAACGCCCAGCAAAAGGCCCTGCCGGTGAAGGAGATCTACGCTTGGATTGTGCAGCACTTTCCGTACTTTAAGACCGCTCCGGCCGGATGGAAGAACAGCGTCCGGCATAACTTGTCGCTGAACAAATGCTTCCAGAAGGTGGAGAAGGCAGCGGTAAGTACAACTAGTGGGCAGTTGATGTCTTCGCAACCAGGGCTTGATGAGGGTACGCCTCTTCCGCAGAATCTCGGCAAAGGTTCACTGTGGATGGTCGAACCGCAGTACCGGCCCAATCTGATCCAGGCACTGTCGCGATCGCCGTTCCATTCCGGGTCCGGAATCGATAAGACCACCTACAAAGCAATGCAACAGCAGGCCCAGCAGCAAGCGCAACAGCATCAACGCTCAACTGACAGCCCCACTAGCAGTGTTGGCAGTAGTTATTCCAAGGTAGGTCGATGCCCATTCGCTTCAATCTGGCAACAGTTTACTTATGGCGTTTTGATTTCGTAGGACAACTTTCCGTACCTTGCTAGTCGTTTGGCACCGGGTGACGCACAAAACGGTGTTCACCTGCAGCACCACCTACACGGGCAGCAACATCCGTCCGATCTGGATGGGGACGATTTCAGCCGGTCGTCCACTCCGATCGACTACGACGGAGATCTTCCCCACCAGCAGCATGCTCATCCTCACCATCAACAGCATCACCATGCACCTGCCGGCGGTGGAGGAGCTTACCACGTGGCGTACCACCATCCACCGCCACCGCCGTCGTCGGTGGGACCACCCGCCGCCGGACCAAATGGTCTGTCGAATGGGGGTTTTCCCGGCGGTGCTGTGATCCTGCCGAACGGGACCACCGGGGAGATCATCGGACGGGACTGGAGCGCGGATACGATCGACGACGTGAACGCGGCGACCGCCATGTTGGCTCTGAAGCATGGACCAAAAATTTTCACCGAGGGATTCCATAATGGGTAGGTGTTGTTGGTGAATTATGTTGGTTCGTTCCCTGATGTTCCCTCCCAATGTGGAATTGCTACTTTAGTTGTGTAGGGACTTTGTAGGAACTATCGGAATTTGTGCTTTAATATCAATGGAATTTATTTTTAGCTTTGTTGGAACTATTTCAGAGATAACCGTGAAATTTGTTAGAATTGATCTTGGTTATTCTTCTGGAATTTCATGTGAATTTTATCTTAAATTCTCTAGGAACATCAACACAACCTGATCATGAAAGTATCCTGGGAAATGATTGATATACCTCCATAAATTTTCATCTCTATTTGGTACATCTTGCACACCAGAGATGCGCAACATATATCAAATCGGCTGCAATGTAGTATTTAAGGGGCAAGATGATTTAGAAACATCGGGCATGTATATAACAAAGATTTAAGGATGAAACGTGGACATATTGTGCGGTACCTTCCGTTGTCAACTGAAATCCTTGTTTTTTCTTTACCTAAAATTACCTTATTTTGTTTAAAGATTCCCGTATAAATTGGTCTTGAATTCCCATTGAGTTTCACCTGAAGGGAATCGAATTTATCTTGAACTCTCGTTGGAATTCCATTCTTGAATTCCCTTGAAGTTTCTTCTAAAATTCCTTTGGAACTTCTTTTTAAAATCTCTCAAATCGTATTCTCAAGTTCTGTTAGAGTTTGTGTTGAAACTCGCTTGAATTTGCTTAGGAATATTACAGTTCTTAGTTAAAGCTTCGCTTGATATCCCATTAGATTTTTGCTTGACACTTGTTACGCATTTGTCATGTAGGAATTCCGTTTGTCGTTTCAACTGAAAATGCGCCCGAATTTCGTGTCCGGGTCCGTTTCCAAATCCGTGTAGTTTCCAAATAATCCTGCAATTGAGCAAATCCACACGGAAAATTAAACGAATTTCAGATTTTACCTCTCAGAATTCCATGAAACTTCGCTTCATTGTTCGTTAGGGATCAGGGTTTAAGTCACTCTGCCACCTTGTGTCTGTGCTTACTGTGTTTCATGTGTGTTTTTGAGTGCCGGAAGGTGTTTCTGGGTGTTTCATTGTGATGACCGGGCTGTCAAAACTTCAACCGAAAAAATATACTTTCTGGCAACCATATCCTCAACCATAACATAACGCTGAAAATGACTAGAGCCGAGAGCCTCCTGCGACTCCTTTGCTGTTATTTGTTTAATAAAAAAGCAAAACCGACGGGAAGGTTATTTGGAGCTAATACGACCAGGTGGTAGACGAATGGGCACGTGCCACCCAGGAACAAGGACCAAGCAATTGGTGCAATTTGCAATTAAATGGTGGGGCCGTGATCAGCCCCACTGCTGGTGAGAACCTACGATTTTCAATGAGAAACTGTTCCGTCGCGTTTGTCTTGGTTTTCTTGCGAGACATTTACCTTTTTTCAGCATCTGTTCCTCCTGATGCTGCTGCTTTCGTGGATCCCAACTGGTTTCGGATTTTCTTTTCTCTGGATTTCAATCCAGATCCAGAATTTTTTTCTTTCCCGGCAGGATGGTACCACGGTTTTTTGCTCGTTTTTTTTCTCAACACCTAATTAACAATCGAATGTAAACAGTATTTGCAGTGGTGCCAGAATGGATTTAAAAAAAATCCTTATCATGCAACGTAATGGTGTTTGTGGGTGTTTTAAGTGTGTCGAAGTGTGTTTACACAACGTGGCAGACTGACTTATCCCTTGTTAAGGGTAGTGAACCAAGTTTGTGCAGGGATTTCGGCCATTTTTGACCCACGTCCAATTTTTTAAAATGGCGTACCGTGGAGGCACCATATTCGAAGCGGTTCGTAGATCGACGCACTCAATAATGTTGGACTATTTTCAATCTTTATTTTTGAAATGTGACTTCTGAAAATATTAGTTCCAAGGGTTTTGAGATGTTCCACGAAAATCTTCTAACATTTTCCTTCAAATTCCCTCCAAAATTCTCCTGAAGCCCTTCCGAAGTCATGCGCCTGTAATTGCCCGTTGAACCAGAAAGCTAACCTTAAATTAAACCCGTTTCAGAACACCTCCGGTTATCACGACCTCGCCGAGCGAGGACCACACGTACTCTGCAGGAGGCAGCATTCCACCTCCCGGCCTGAGCGAACGCTCCAGTCAGAACAACAGCGACAACAACAGCAACGGAACTTCGTCCGATGCGGCGTACGAAAGCAGTGAGGAAAGGTAAGTCCCACGACCGTCACATTCCAAAAAACTGCCTCGTCTAACGCTGGTTCCCTCCCAACACAGCCATACCCAAAACCTGGTGATCGACGACCAGGAGGAGCAACGGCGCCTGACCGGCGTGGACGCCCTGCTGAACCTGGCCGGCATCACCAACTACTCGCCCATGCCTGCGTCCTCGTTGAAAAGACCTGCCGAACCGTACGAGGACTCACCGGCCGGCCAACGGTCTCCGTACCATCAGCAGCCGTCACAGCAACAGTTGGAAAGCACGCCACCCTCCGGATACAGCGTGGTAGTTCAACCCCCGCCACAACCGTACCGCAGCTATTACACGCCGGACGATCTGAGTCAGTACTCGTCGCCATCACCGCCGAAGAAGAGCAAAACCACCTCCTCGTCCTCGTCTTCGTCCTCTTCGGTGAAGATGCTCAAAAAGTACAAGAAGAAGGCCTCCTGGGTACGGTAATATCGTGCCGAGCAGGGCAGCACCAAGGACTCCAAGTAGGCGTCGACTTTGTGGACGAGGACGACGATGACAGCTGCCAACTGTCAGTCAAGCTAGCAGATCTAGTTTATCTAGTTTAATTCTTTTTTGATAGCTACATTTGTGGATAGTGTTTCGTTTATTTTTTTCGTTCGTCGGATAAGTCCTAAAATCAAAGCTCTAGTTAATTCTGCTTTATTTATAGTCAATTTTTTTAAGTGTTTATAAGCAAAACAGACTGTTCGGAAACAAGTAAGGAGAAGGTAAACAAAAACAAAAACTTTACAAATGATAAGTCAAAGTGGAAAAGTGCTACATCCCCGCAGCGGGAGACGGGAAGAAGAATAGTTTGTTTTATTTAAGAGCATCTATCACACGTGAAACCCAAATTGCATTTGAATGTTTATTTTTTCTGTTGAAAAAGTTATTATTTATTTAGATGGGTCAGCAGCAGCAGCAGCAGCAGCAGCAACAGTACTAAAACAAAGAAAAGTCTACACAGTTAAGAAGACGAACAGTAGCGAAGATCGGAGGGGGGGTCCTTAGCGAGACCCCCTGCATCAGTTAGGTAAGAGTTGCATACACAAGCGGTCGGAGTCGAACGAAGCAAGAAAAGGAATGAACTTAGTCACTCGCGCCTTTGATTTTTACCTAGAATTTAGGAACATACTTTTTCTATAAACTATAAAATAGCAAGTGAGAGGTTAGGATCAAGAGCATTAAGAATCATTACAATCACAAACACACACACACACACATACACACTAACAAACAAACAAACCAGAAGCAGAAGCAAGCTGCGCGTATGTTAACAATTAATGACAGGTGACAAGCGGTGGTAAACACACCTTCAAGCAGCAGGAAGCGGAAGCGCTTTAAACACCAATCAAAAGTCGGCTTAGAGCAGTGCAGGTTTAAGGAACTGGGATTAAGTGTTTTCTTTGTCTCAAAGCTTTGTTTTTGTTTTGCTTTTAGAACGGTGCCAATGCCAGGGATGTGTAAGGAAGGAGCGTATGTTGGTAGGGAAATTTTCTGTTTCCACTGCAGAAAGCTAGGCTATTCTCGTTCGTTGAGTTGATAGGCATAATTTTAGTGTATAAGAGCTTCTTTGTGGAGTCGTAGTGTTAGCTCAGATGATTGATGATTTCAGAATTGTGGTTAAGTTTGTACGAGGTAAACATGTTGTTAAACAGTACTAAAGGTGAATCGTCTGTGCTGTGCGGAACACAAACGGCGATGACACCACCGCCGCCGCTTTCGGGTGGTTCTTATTGGAAGGTTATAAGCATGAAAATATCATTTATTGAGTTGACGTTTTAGTTGTTTTATTTTCGTTTCTCCAGAAAGCCTTAAGGTTGCCAATTTTGTTTTGTTGTTGAAGTTTTTGCAGTTTTTCATCACGCGCTGAACAATCATTACCACTCGTAATATGTAGCCTGTAAACAAACGAATCAGTACTGATAAGTAAGAGGAAAACACTTATCTAGATAAGTAGCACATTCATCGATTTATCTATCGACCTGTTGTTGCCTATCTTTAGGGGAATATTTTACCAAGCAGATTTTGATGTTGATCTCATTAGGACTAGTGTAGCGTCATCATTCTGAATGACACACCCGAATTGGACATGTTTTGCTTGATCAGATCACTGCAAGAAGCGTCGAAGATGCTTTTAAACAACACAAGTAAGATGTGCCAAAACAAGTGTAAAATTACACATAACCACTAGGAAAGCCTTCATTTCTAGCGCCTCTTTGTTGAACGAAACGAAATCTGTTCGAATTTTGTGTGTTACCTAAATAATCTACGCCGTTTCATCTACAATGAATCTATTGTTATATAGTCTTCCAGATGTATATTTACAAACACACATAAAAACACACCATGGTAGGATATTTAGTGATACTCGTCCGTTAGGAGACACTTGCTAGTAAAACTATAAAAGCCTGTTGGAAAAACTGCTACCTAAAAGTAGAACACTAACCAAATGTTAACAGAATATAATCTAAGCCACACTTACACACATTCTGTTTAGTATGTAGGTTACACTCGTAAATACAAATACACAAACATCCAAGGAAAAACAATAATTCTAAACGAAACGAACAAAATCCTTTAGATACTGGTTGCCGTGTGTACTACTATTAACACTTTTGCGCTTTATTGTTACACCGTAACCGTCAGTACATACATGCATAAACTTATCGTCGACAACCTGTTAGTATAAGTCGGGTATGGACAAAGCATCCAACATATAAACACAACCACACACTGGCACATGTACGCGCATAGCACACACATCACTGATCAATCAAGTACCGTAGATACCGTTCAATAAAGTATTATAAAACACAGAAAAAAAAATCTAAGAAACCAAACATAGACTGCACCTTTAAATAATAATAAAAAAAAAACAATACACATTATACATGCAAACAAACAAAATTTAGCAAAACCAAAAGTCGGAAAACAAGCAATACTTACAACAGACGGTCAACCGTCAGTTTTTGACGTTTTGAAGTAAAGGCGGTCGCCGAAAGGGCGGTTTACACAACAACGGCTTTCTAAAGATACCCTTTGCTTTTTAAGAGATCTACCAACACATTTAACAACAACAACAACAGCAACAACAACAACAACAATAATTACTCAACTCCTGTGTGGTGGTAGCAATTTTACCGTACAATTATCTAGTGTAGACCATAGGACCTATAGGTTTTGCTGGCAGCATGGAAACCGACATAACTCACCTGAACAATTTTGAACACAGTCGAATGGATGGAAGCAGAAACAAGCAACAACAGCCTACTATATGTAGCCTACACACACACACACACACTATATGTAGACTAGATGTCTGCAGTTGGGCAGTCTTTGGCTGGGATGGCCTATCAAGGATACACAAGGAACAGAAATATATAGATGCGCCCTTTGGGAAATACAGTAACTTCGGTTGTTGTGGGACTCCGTTCTGTGTCTAAGACAATTCGAAACGACCAACGTGAAGCCGCGTTATCAAACGACTCGTAGGGAGCATACATGAATGACGTAGCATTTGCGTGGCGGATTTCAGCATCTGAACACCCCCCAAATGGCGATTAGAGCCATATTTAAGGAGATAAAACGATTTAAAGGTTTTGGAAGCCCACCGGTCGACAAATAAAGGTTTTTCAAATATTTTATACTGGGAAATTTCGGTATGAAAATTTCACCCCCCAATTCGCGATTAGAGCCATATTTAAGGAGATAAATCGATTTAAAGGTTTGGGAAGCCCCTCGGCCGACAAATAAAGATTTTTGAAATAGAGTACATTGGGAAATTTGGGTATGAAAATTTCGAGCATCTGAACACCCCCCAAATCGCGATTGGAGTCATATTTAAGGAGATAAATCGATTTAAAGGTTTGGAAAGCTCCCCGGCCGACAAAAAAGGTTTTTAAAATATTTTATCCTGGTAAATTTTGGTATGAAAATTTCGAGCATCTGAACACCCCCCAAATCGCGATAAGAGCCATATTTAAGGAGATAAATCGATTTAAAGGTTTGGGAAGTCCCCCGGCCGACAAATGAAGGTTTTTGAAATATATTATACTGGGAAATTTTGGTATGAAAATTTCGAGCATCTGAACACCCCCCAAATTGCGATTAGAGCCATATTTAAGGAGATAAATAAAGGTTTTTGAAATATTTTATACTGGGAAATTTTGGTATGAAAATATCGAGCATCTGAACACCCCCCAAATCGCCATTGGAGCCATATTTAAGGAGATAAATCAATTTAAAGGTTTGGGAAGCCCCCCGGCCGACAAATAAAGGTTTTTCAAATAATTCACACTGGGAAATTTTGGTATGAAAATTTCGAGCATCTGAACACCCCCCAAATTGCGATTAGAGCCATATTTAAGGAGATAAATAAAGGTTTTTGAAATATTTTATACTGGGAAATTTTGGTATGAAAATTTCGAGCATCTGAACACCCCCCAAATCGCGATTAGAGCCATATTTAAGAAGATAAATCGACTTAAAGGTTTGCGAAACCCACCGGCCGACAAATAAAGGTTTTTGAAATTTTTTATACTGGGAAATTTGGGTATGAAAATTTCACCCCCCAATTCGCGATTAGAGCCATATTTAAGGAGATAAATCGATTTAAAGGTTTGGGAAGCCCCTCGGCCGACAAATAAAGATTTTTGAAATAGAGTACATTGGGAAATTTGGGTATGAAAATTTCGAGCATCTGAACACCCCCCAAATCGCGATTGGAGTCATATTTAAGGAGATAAATCGATTTAAAGGTTTGGGAAGTCCCCCGGCCGACAAATGAAGGTTTTTGAAATATATTATACTGGGAAATTTTGGTATGAAAATTTCGAGCATCTGAACACCCCCCAAATTGCGATTAGAGCCATATTTAAGGAGATAAATAAAGGTTTTTGAAATATTTTATACTGGGAAATTTTGGTATGAAAATATCGAGCATCTGAACACCCCCCAAATCGCGATAAGAGCCATATTTAAGGAGATAAATCGATTTAAAGGTTTGGGAAGTCCCCCGGCCGACAAATGAAGGTTTTTGAAATATATTATACTGGGAAATTTTGGTATGAAAATTTCGAGCATCTGAACACCCCCCAAATTGCGATTAGAGCCATATTTAAGGAGATAAATAAAGGTTTTTGAAATATTTTATACTGGGAAATTTTGGTATGAAAATATCGAGCATCTGAACACCCCCCAAATCGCCATTGGAGCCATATTTAAGGAGATAAATCAATTTAAAGGTTTGGGAAGCCCCCCGGCCGACAAATAAAGGTTTTTCAAATAATTCACACTGGGAAATTTTGGTATGAAAATATCGAGCATCTGAACGCCCCCCAAATCGCGATTAGAGCCATATTTAAGGAGATAAATCGATTTAAAGGTTTGGGAAGCCCAAATGGACAAAGCATCCAACATATAAACACAACCACACACTGGCACATGTACGCGCATAGCACACACATCACTGATCAATCAAGTACCGTAGATACCGTTCAATAAAGTATTATAAAACACAGAAAAAAAAATCTAAGAAACCAAACATAGACTGCACCTTTAAATAATAATAAAAAAAAAAACAATACACATTATACATGCAAACAAACAAAATTTAGCAAAACCAAAAGTCGGAAAACAAGCAATACTTACAACAGACGGTCAACCGTCAGTTTTTGACGTTTTGAAGTAAAGGCGGTCGCCGAAAGGGCGGTTTACACAACAACGGCTTTCTAAAGATACCCTTTGCTTTTTAAGAGATCTACCAACACATTTAACAACAACAACAACAACAGCAACAACAACAACAACAATAATTACTCAACTCCTGTGTGGTGGTAGCAATTTTACCGTACAATTATCTAGTGTAGACCATAGGACCTATAGGTTTTGCTGGCAGCATGGAAACCGACATAACTCACCTGAACAATTTTGAACACAGTCGAATGGATGGAAGCAGAAACAAGCAACAACAGCCTACTATATGTAGCCTACACACACACACACACACTATATGTAGACTAGATGTCCGCAGTTGGGCAGTCTTTGGCTGGGATGGCCTATCAAGGATACACAAGGAACAGAAATATATAGATGCGCCCTTTGGGAAATACAGTAACTTCGGTTGTTGTGGGACTCCGTTCTGTGTCTAAGACAATTCGAAACGACCAACGTGAAGCCGCGTTATCAAACGACTCCTAGGGATGATGATGATGATGATGATGATGGTCCCACCTCTTACCCCTACAAAGGTTTGAGCTGGACGAGTTATCTTTAAGATAATTAAATATAAACATTTTAACCAGGTTTGCAAACAAAATCGAGCTGGTTACAATTACAGATATAAATGTCCTGTTAAATATGCTATAGGCATCAACCAAAAACATTCAAAGGTGTAACTAGTTATCAAAAGTCCAAGTATAGTCCTCGACAATACTTCCATTTACACGTGACCTGGGATTTACACGTTTAAGCTTCCGCAGTGCCAGGACTATATCCAAGGAAACGACTTCCAGCCAACCCTTTACTAATTCAAGGCTTTTGCCACAATTTCCACGTATTAGTCATTTATACCTGTATTCCGCGCGCGAGGCTCAAACCATCGTAGACTACTCAAAGCTATTTTTACTATTACTACTACAAAATCAAAAAACTAAAAATCCATCATCACCATCGAGGCAAACAATGTAGTTTTTTGTATATGCTACACCAATTACTAAAATGTCTATATGACAGTCTCCATACAAAATAATCCGTTAGAGATAACTTTGTCAAGAT